CTGACCTTGCAGTTCAAACCAACTGTGCAGGCCAGCACATTAATCCACAGCACCATATGTGGTGAGCTAATGAAATGTTTGACTAAATATAACAAGCTAATTTTTGTGTGTGTGCCTCTTTACATGTTGCTGGTTTTTATTTTTTTTAACTTTCATTATGAATTATGTGATCGTTTACATGGGAGAATATTAGCTTTACATTCATCCTATCATATATTGTTACATTGTAGCAGGCTAATTTTTAAGATGATAATTATGTATGGCCTGCAAATGATGTTGTAAATTTTGGCAGAAAAAAAGGTTCTTCACCCCTGTACTAGGAGAATGAGGCTGTCCAAAGCCAGTGGAGCAGAATTGCCACGCTCGTGGGCCCTGGAAGGTAGAGCTTAAACCCAGGGTTGACGGGCCTCTACCTAGAATCTAGAGTGCATGACCAACACCTAGAGTTTCAGGGAAAGTGCCAATCACTAGATGGTCTCAGAGAATAAAGGATTGTTTTCAAGCCTTGAAAGAAAATGTAAATTATTCTGCTGGGGTTTTAACTTGGTAGGTGCCGGTTTTTCCCTCTGACAAATTGATGAGAAATGGTGTTGCATTCATTGTCAAAAAGAACATATCCAGATCAGTCATGAGGTACAACGCAGTCTGTGATAGGATAATATCCATGCACCTGCAGGGAGGCCCAGTTAATATCACTATTATTCAAATTTATGCACCAACCACTAAAGCCAGTGAGGAAGAAATAGAAGAATTCTACCAACTTATTCTATCTGAAATTGATCAAACATGCAATCAAGATGTATTGATCATTACTGGTGATTGGAATGCAAAGGATGGGAACACAGAGGAAGGATCAGTGGTTGGAAAATATGGCTTTGGTGATATGGAGAATTCTGCAAAGCCAATGATTTGTTCATTTCAAATACCTTCTTTAGACAGCATAAGAGATGATTATACGCATGGACCTTGCCAGATGGAATACATAGAAATCAAATTGACTACATCTGCGGAAAGAGATGATGGAAAAGCTCCATATCATCAGTCAAAACAAGGCCGGGGCAGAATGTGGAACAGACCATCAATTCCTCAGATGCAAATTCAAACTGAAGCTGAAGAAAATAAAAACAAGTCCACGGGAGCGAAAATATGACCTTGACTATATCCTACCTGAATTTAGAGATCATTTGAAGAACAGATTTGATACATTAAACACCAAAGACCGAAGACCAGAAGAGTTGTGGGATGACA